GTTTAGCTCTAATAGAATTGTTGAACGTGCCAAACAACCTTTGGAAAAAGTGCATACAGATATTTGTGGTCCCATGCATGTTCCCAGTCTTACTGGACGCCGCTATTTTCTCATTTTTATTGATGATTTCTCTCGGTACATGTTCACGTATCCGACAACGAACCGAAGCGAAGTATATGAGCGCTATGAGGACTTCAGGAAGAAAGCCCTGGACATCTTCAGGAACGACATCAATGTCCTTAAATATCCGCACCCTACTGAGAACTGTGACATTCAGGTTTTGCAAGCAGACAATGCAAAAGGGTATGAAAAATCTTGGGCGCCAGTTTTTCCAGAAATACGGAGCACATGCGTAGTTTACGAATGCATACACTCCTCAACAGAACGGTGTTTCCGAAAAAACGCAATCGAACCATTATGGAGCGCGTTCGAGCCCTACTGATTGATGGCAATCTTCCTAAGCAATTGTGGGCGAAGTGTGTCTGTCATGTGATCTGATTAACATGACACCCAGCTTGACGACATACAGCCGTACACCATATGAACTTTGGTACAATCGCAAACCATCCATGGACTACATCAAAGTGTTCGGATGCAGTGCCTATTCGCATATCACAGAGCAATACCGTGATAAACTTGATGCGCGAGCACGTTTGTGCATGTACGTTGGCCTTCCCGAGCACAAGAAAGGCTACCGCCTAATGGACGTCAATACCCATGCAATTGTCTACAGCCGTGATGTAACCTTCAAAGAGGACGAATTCCCTCGTTTGGCAAACCTGACAAACCCTGAACAATCATCACAGATGCAACAATCGAATGTGCAAACGCAACATCTTGCACCTGTCCCTGCAACGACAACATCTGCAGCGCTGCCCAGACTGCCCCCACTCAGGGAGGCCCTAAAACGCTCGCATTACACTTTCTGTGGGGAGACGAAAACTGATCCTCCTTCCTCTCCTAAGCCTAAAAGACCCCATTGCGACTCAGTCGGCAGGGATGTAGCCCTCGATTCCGAGGAAGATTTGCAGGAGAAAGAGCAGCGCAGGACATTACTGTACACATTACTAGCTATTCGGTATGTGACAGAGCCCACTACGTATCGAGGAGCGATGAAATCCCCTCACGCTAATCAGTGGCACAAAGCAGCCAAATCAGAATATAAGTCCCACATGGAAAACAACACTTGGGTATTGGTATCTCCTCCAAAAGGAAGGAAGATTTTAACCAGCCGATGGGTATTTGTTGTCAAGTACACCGGCACAGGCGACATTGACCGTTTCAAAGCGCGTCTAGTGATAAAAGGTTTCCTTCAGGAACATGGCATTGATTACAACGAGATTTTCTCACCTGTTATCAGGATGGAGGTACTCAGACTCCTTCTCACGATCGCAGCTCTGCTCGATCTAGAAATCCACCAAATGGATGTCAAGACGGCATTTCTTAACGGAATTCTGGAGGAGGAGATCTACATGGCTCAACCGGAAGGTTTTAAAATCCCGGGTAAGGAACACCTTGTGTGCAAACTCCTGAAGAGCCTGTACGGGTTGAAACAAGCTCCCCGTGTCTGGTATCAAACGTTGTCTGCCTTCCTTCAGAGTATTGGGTTCCAAAAACTTATTAAGGATCGGTGTGTGTTCATCCGCACTAGTGACGCTAGCACATGCTATATTGCAGTGTACGTCGACGACCTTTTAATCATTGCGCCTACTCCAGCCCTCGTGAATGAGCTGAAATCAGCCCTGAACAAGAGATTCTCCATGACAGATTTAGGGGAGGTGAAGTACTTACTCGGCTGGTCTATTCAACGAGACCGAAAGAGCCGAACGATATATATCCACCAGCACAAGTACGCTACGAAGGTCCTTGACCGCTTCAGCGACTACATTCCGTACCCTATTGCAACGCCAGCAGACCGGAATGTTAAACTCTCCGCAAGCAGCCAGCCCAGCAGTGAGGCAGAGAAAGATGCGATGAAAGATATTCCGTATCGCGAAGCCGTTGGCAGTATCATGTATCTCATGGTAGGCACTCGACCCGACATGGCATTCTACATGCGCGAGATCAGCCAATTCCTAGCTAATCCGGGAATGGAGCACTGGAAAGCAGTTGTCAGAGGTCTCAAATATCTCTCGGGAACGAAGGACTATGGTCTTCTTCTTTATGGATCACTTGACATCACACGCGACAACCTTGCTGACAGCCTAACAGCGTACAGTGACTCTGACTATGCCAATTGCCCCGACACGAGACGCTCCGTCGGCGGATATGTGACTATGCTCGCAAGCAGTCCAATCTCATGGCTTTCGCGCAAGCACCACACTGTGGTTCTCTCAACAACAGA